TATTTTTTTTAATACTAGAAAAATAAAAGTCTAATGAGTTCGTGTAGTACAATGTACTAATTATAATTTATACTGATCATCTGTCAAACGTTTATTTTTACATTACTATTCAAGAATTTCCAGAAAAAGCTGGTAATCAGGTAATCAGTGGCATATCCAAACATTCATCCACGACAATCAAAGTCAGTTCTTTCTGTCATTCTGTTTTTTCCATGCCTTTCTGACCTGATGATAAAACAATTTTAAAAACCATTAAATAAAAAAATTTAAAAAAAACTCGTGTTATTTTATATTGATCTATGGAGTAAACATCTGTTTAAGAAACTTATGAGCAAAATTCAATTTTTGAATTCATAACACTTATAACGTCTTTCCCCCTCACACCCGTATTCTCAAAAAACTACTGGCAAGCAACGGCTGCCAAACAGTCGACTGCCAAGATATCATTTTAAAAATAATTAAAATACATCTGTCATTTGAACTGCATTTCAACATAGGTCTAATTTACACGGATTCTGAATCGGTAATCGTAATAGCGTACTAAATTCAGTATTAATAATTGACAGACAACTAACAATTTAAATCGTCAAAAAGTTGTTTTTGATGGAGGATTATTGTTTTTGTTGCAATGGAGCTCTTCGTGACACCCGAAAATTATAAACGCTAGAAACAAATATACGGAATTTTCAAATTTGGCTATGTGAATTCCGCCTTGTTAAAGCTGAACTTAAACGCTAGGCCTAGGCCTACCCATAAGAGTGCTTTTTGTCCTGGCAGACGCGATGGTTTTCGACGGGGGCAGTCGCGTCTTAGAATATTAAACATGTTTAATATTTCTCGCGACGACTTAAGACTGTCCCCGGTGATGAATCGCGCCATGTTTATCGTTCTGCAAAAATCCGCCTGCGTGAAGTGGTCTCTACGAGGTAGACGAATAGAAATAAAATAAAATTACGTTGTTTTCTAAGTTTGTTTGAAGACTACAAGTGTTTAAATCGGCAACTCATTGTGTATGAAGATGCTGTGCATCAGCAGTAGACCGAAAGTTGTTTGGCACGTGTCCTACTAAATTTATACCAGTGGAACCACTAACACTACCAAGGGGCTTGGTACAGCAAAAGATCGTACTGATGAGTGGGTACAGTAAAATTAGCAAATAACGAATGTAAATGAATTTCTAAGCCAAATCCTCCAAAAGTTGTCAAAAATATACATTAGGTTCACTGCGAATTTCTAAATGTGTGTCATCTGTATTCTGTCGTTTTCAAAACGGTTGGGGAAGCGGTTGGCGCATCAGTTCTTGGACTCCCAGTCTCGAGGTCGGGGGTTCGTAACTCTCGCTGTGCAAATCGCTTGTGAACTTGGGCAAGGCACTTTATCTACGGTTACCTCTCTCCACCCAGGAGTACAAGTGGGTACCTGGTAGGTTCCAACACAACTGCACTGATACACAATATTAATATTATTATTATTATTATTATTATTCGATTATTATATGCGGCGGACCATCATAATATGATGATATATTATATTTTTAACAAATTCCAAAAGATTTTTTTTGGATTAGAAATTCATTTTATACCATACAGTTTGTACAGTATTACGTCCTCGTGGCCCTCGGTGGTGTTAAATGTAGGTTTTCACTGAAAAAAGGGACAAACCTGTTTGCTAAACACACACTGTGACAGGCAGATAAAAGCGCCTTGTAGGCCATTTGTTAGGCTGAAAATATAATCGAAAATCAGTGTTCCTCTTATGGTAGTAAATATGCCGATGATCCAGGTTGTTCCGAGTGCAAAGGCGAGCGGCACAAAAGTTTTGGCAATATTCCTATAAAATAAAAATAAAGAATGTGAGATATCATAATCGAGAGTTTGAAAAAAGACGGACAAATTTATGGTAAACATGAAAGTTAAAAAGTGACATTCAAACTTAGGAAACTAGAGCCGCCGTTTATTAGGGTCGACTCGCGTTTATATTTGGCGCTCTTTCCTACAATAACAACCTCTTCTGAGGGGACCAAAAGCTTGCGCTATTCAAGCATCTACAAAAGATTTCAAGGTTGGCATTCAGCCTTAGATGATAATACATATTTTACTTATGCAAAATATAATAACCATCAAGATTGTAGCTATACATGTATCCATGATTGTATAACAAAGAGATGATACGTTTTACCCATGAACACATAGATTCGATCTCCTTTAACACCAACATAAATCGGATGCCTTCAACAGAAAGCTCAAGTAACTGCCACCTCGACTGTAACTGCACTTATTTTAACCTACATATATTAATTGCTACATTATATTGTTGTCCTCTATAAATATTGTTGGTTCAAATTTTATAGTTTTAAAAACAGTATCCTGCTAATGACAACCTCAAATCAATGTCTGCCAAATGTCATAAAAAATGATTGCTTTTTGTACCAGTACCATCCAGTACGTAGTTCATGACACTTCGATAACAATATATACCATCAGTTTAGAAGTGGTGCTGACGGTCATCAGTTCAAGGTATTTATAAATATTGAAGAATATAAATTAAAGAAAGAAATCGTCTTACCGTGTATTTTCTAGATTAGTATGTACATGTATTGGGTGCACTGCACCTTCGCATGATCTGTATGTCTTCCATGCTACACAAATTATTTCCAGCGATATCACCTACAAATAAAATAATAATGGATGTCGTTATGACATTTCCCTTGTAATTATAAATTATATCGTATTTAATATCTACAGTATATATAT